TGTTTTTGTATCACTTACTCATACTTTCTCAGGCATGTACACATGATTATTTTCTCTTACCTACAACTAAGAGTATTGTATTCTTCAGTTACGTTTTATCGGATGGAACCAGGGGGCAAGTTGGTCATGGGATTAAGAAAGACTTCTGCTGGGCCACCACCTCATGAGGTACGCCATGAATGTGTATGTGTAGTGGAATCTTATGCAGGATGAGCCCTGAAAATATCACTGGAGGCCTTTCCATTCTCATATGATAATCATATCATTCGTGGATTGGGTTAGACTGTCCTCTTACAGCATTAAATTGGCAAATGCACCAAGTATAAAGGGGGAGGATAGTGAAGAGTTGGAAAAAGTGGGAAAATCCCAATGGGGACGAATAATCTAATCACACATCAAATATGAATTAAGCCAATATTCAGGTAAGAAAGAAAGCAGTTGAGGCTGACGTTTTTGCCCAATCAACCACACGTCATATCAGCTGGACTGTTCTATGTTTACACCTCATATCATTGGTCAATACTGTGATCAAAGTACACTGCTCAGGCTCCAATCAAAGATATGACACTAGATATTTGTGAACAACAAAGCAATGTTTGTCTTGCTGACCAAAGTTATTGGGGGTAGAAGGCTTTAATGTAATTATAGAATCGACATTCTCTCTCAATCTTCCAATGCTGTGCAGTCAACACCCACTATATTTAAATTGCAATGCAGTGTAAACTCTTCACTTACTGGGAAGTTATATGGGAAGTAGTGAAGTCATGTACCCAGTAATTTTTACAGAGTAAGCTGGAATCTTCAGTGAGAACATCTTAAGGTGCCAGATAGATACATAGGAAAAGAAAAGGACAGCAGTTATTGGACATAAAATATTTGGGGAAAGTTTTAGATTTGATGACTCCAATCAAGACCGATATATTTAACAGATGAGCATATTATACGTGTAGTGGGAAGAATCCGTGATATTTTCCCTCTAACGGGAATGACCCCTGTACACTAGTAGATACCAATCCTACAACATATGAGCATATTACTCTCCATTGTGCATCCAGCTATGTATGCTGAAGCATACTTTTTGAGGTCAATATGAATTAATTTCTGTCCATGCAAATCCATTAACTCATGCTTCAATTTTGTGCTTCTCAGATTTCAGCCTGATGTACCAAAAGAAGATTGTGATCTGTCAAAGACCATTGCCAATTTTCTGCTTTCCCATGGCTGCTGTTGAAGGTTCTCTATCTTTCCCAGAAGTCTGTCTTCATATCTCACTCTGAAAATAACTTTTCCATTTTCTTGAATCCTCACTAGCTAACAACAGCATGCCTATGTTCCATGATAGTCTGTAGTTACTGGAATTGCTGGATTGGGACCAAGAAACTTACATTCTGCCTTAAAGTTGTGTAACATTGTGTAAATTGTAACCTTCAGAAGCGCAATTATTGTCGCGTTACTTCCAAACTTTTCGGTTACATTTGCAGGTGCCTCCTATCTAGTCAAGTAGCATGATACTACACTTCCTTTCAATTTTTCTCAATACAAAATTATCAACCATGTATTGACTGTGGATCCACTTGAATACATTGGATCTCACTTGAATTTATCGTAGGTAATTTTACATTGATGGATATTGAGAGGAAATGCATGGGAGAGATCCAACTCACTTGGGAAGAGCCTCAATTCCATATTTCTAGTGGAGGATTTGAGTATTTTTTTCGTCCTTCCATTTAGGAAATTGTGATTTTATGGTGTGAAGTGTGAGCTATGTTATGGGTTTCAGTGGTTCCAACTTCCATGGCAAACCCTGCTTACGGATTAATTACGTGGGTTTGGTATTGCTAACCTAGCTGACCTACGTAGTGCGCTAATCCAACCCACCTCGTTCAATTAGCAAAGATGAAAGTTCACGCTAATTAAGAGAATGGTTATGAATTAAGACTTTAGTTGCTTACCAATGTGGTACAATTCGTAATTTTTCTTTCATTTTTAAGATTTATCTAACCGCAAATTCCTTAAATGATGAGAAGTTTTCGCAGAAGATAGAGCTCACAAGCAAGCAATCTTCAGCAAGGAGCCAGGCTGTGTGAAACTTTGCAGCCCTTTCCCTATGCCATGTGAAACAGAGTTTTGAGACATTAACCAGATGTGAATGAGCCAACAGAACTTATATGGGCTCAATGACCCTAGCTTCCTAGCTTCGTGATGGTCTGTTGAAGGCAACGGCTAAGTCATGAGCTAGGATGGAATTGGCTTCAAACGGGGGACAAATTTAGTCTAAATCTGTCTGTCTGATTTTATCCAAAGGCCTCTTTGCGTCATGTGTTTGGGTGGGATTCATAGAATGAGTTTTCTCAAAATAGTCCAATAGGCATCCTTATTGTTTGATTATAGATTTCAGGTCCAATATTTGAATTTCGGTCCGTAATTAAAACTCATGGGGGGAGTGATTCGGGTGGGTGCAGTCAATTTCATAGCAAATATTTTGTGATTAATCTGTGGGTCTCATGTGTATTTATGTTATTTATCAAATATGAGATTGGATAAATGATACATCATTCAATTCCATGAACAAAACCTAAAGATCGAGTTTATAAGGGTTTCATAAATCCAATCCAATCACTCTTAAAAATTATTCAAATAACTCTCAGATGTTCTAATCTCTTAACATAACTAAATTGAACTGACTTTCCTGAATTTAGAATAATGAGTGATTATATCTATAAAATTCATCTCTAAACAGATTTGGGTGAATTTTAATATGTCACATAATTTAAGAAAATAAATAAAACAATTAACCAAATAATTAGGGTGAGATATAACCTCCGCGCTAGGGATGACATGCATTGGATAAGAATGAGTATTCGTCCAAATCCGTCCCGTTTGGACCGGAAATGGATTATATGTATTGGACGATACATGTATACGGGGATACCTATATAAACCCATGTGGGGATGAAGATAGGAATGGACTGACACTTACCCCTGTCCCCCGTCCCGTTTTACCCGTTATTATTATTATTATTATTATTATTATTATTATTATTATTATTTTATATACATATACATCTTGTTGTGAATATAAATCTACATATTATTGAATGATTTTTTCTTTTAAAAATTGTTTTGTTTTTTGAATTTTTTTTTTCATGGTTTTGGCTTGTAAAAGTGTAGATCTTTGTATTTTTATATTTTTTTATGTTAGTTTATATTATGTTACATTATTTTGTATTGCATGATATTATGTTGAATTTACAAGGGAGACAAACTTTTAATTATATTATGTTGTAGATAAGGTTTTAATTATATTTTGTTGTAAATGACAAACTTTTAATTATATTATGATTTTTTATAATTATGTTGGATTATTTAGAATTTTAAATTATATTGACTTAAGTTTAGGCTTAGGCGGGCAAGATGGACGGGGGCTGGGGACGGAGGTGAATGATGGGGACAGGGCGGGAACAAGGATTACAAATTCACCTGCGAACAGAAATGAGAATGAAAACTATACCCATTAATGAGGATGGATCAGGGATGAACATAATTTTTTTAAGTGGGTACGAGATGAAGACTACACCCCCCGCCCCTCCTGCTTTGGTCCATTTGCATCCCTACTCCGCGCATATTGTGAAAAAAGACTCATGTGTCTTAATTTGGTATATAAGTTTTTTTTATCTATAAAATTTTGTTATAGATATAAATGAAAAATAAATTTAGCCAAATTTTGAACTAGTGTTTGACTCCTAAAATCCTATTTAGATATTATTTTGGCGACTAAGCACTCATCATCATTTAGATATGAATGTTTTACTCAATATTAATTAAAGGGTTAATTGCAAGTTGCACTTCGAAAAATAATTTGAATTTTAATTTATACCCCCAAAGATCAAAAATCTCAATTTACACCCTCAAAGATAAAAATTTGTATCAATATGCACCTCTAAAGATAAAAAATCTCAATTTGCACTCTCAAAGATAGAAATTTGTATCAATGTGCACCCCCAAAGATTACAAATCATAATTTACACTCTCAAAAATAGAAATTTGTATCAATATGCATCTAAAACTAAATTGATAAATTATACCTAGATCCCCTCATGCTTGTCACTTAATAATTTGGATCCCTTTACATTTAGAATATTACTCCCACATCTCATGATGTTTGTACACGTATAACACGCAATCTTTTTTCGTCGATGTATGTTAATATAACCGTTAAAAAATATAATTTTATCCTAATAAAAAATTATAATTTCATATTACACTTTATTTTGTGGGTCCGATATACTCTAAAGTTCAAAATCAAGATTACCATTTGAATGTTCAATAGAATGTAGATATTTATATAATATTTTTTATATCCAATGCAATATATCACTCAATGTGCAACCCTTTATTCTAATAGACATTCAAATAATAAGCTTGATTTTGAACTTTAGAGTATATTGGATCCTTAAAATAAAGGGTAATATGAAATTATAATTTTTTATTAGGATAAAATCATATTTTTTTAATGGTTAGGGGTTATGTGTTACACGTGCACAAATATCATGAGATGTAGGAGTAATATTTTATATGTGAAGAGGTCAACAATGAATAAATGACAAGCATAAGGGATCTAGGTATAATTTATCAATTTAGTTTTAGGTACACATTGATACAAATTTCTATTTTTGAGGGTACAAAATGAGATTTTTGATCTTTGGGAGTACAAACTAAGGTTCGAATGATCTTTCAGGGTGTAATTTACAATTAACCCTTAATTAAATTTCTTATGAGTTTCAAAAATTAAATTGCATTGGGAGGTGCTATACTTAATAGGATTGGATTAAAACCAAAAAAAAACTAATAATCAAACTAGTTATTGTACGTCGTCGTTCTGTAGGGCAGTAAAACATGGCCACAGCCCAAACGGTGTCACCTGGGTCCAAGGCTATAAAATGACAGTTAGGTTCACTGGTTGGCGTGTTTAGGTCTCTCTCTCTCTCTCTCTCCCCCCCCAATATCTGCAAAGATGAATTTGGTCATAAGCAATAGCAGCAGTTATGGTGTCCAGTATTCCATAGTTTCAAGCTACAAGCAACAACTAAGAAGCATTCCTGGTAACTGTTAATGTTCTTCTCATTTTCGTGAGCTGACACAACCTCATATACTCCCATATATCGTCACTCTCTATCCATTTGTTGTGTCTATATACGTGTGTGTGTGTGTGTATGTGAAATAGTTACCAGATAGGTTTTGCTGCTTCTCTAAGTAGTTGCAAATTTAGTTGTAACTCAACTTGTTTACTCCAATAGTCGACACATTTGATCCTACATAAAGGTAATGTTTAGTTGTTCGAAACTAGTTGTTGCTACGCTGAAGTCCCTAAAAAATCGAAAAAATTCTTCACTGGGTATACATATAATGTGTGTGAGCGCGTGCCTCATTTGTAATTTGCTAAACTCTTCATGTATTGTTGGAATTAATCTATTGAATAAGGTATGTGAAAAACATTGATTGCGAAGGTCTGATTCAGATTGGGTCGTGGCTGCTCATTTTTGTTTGAAGCTAGCTAGAACACTAGAATAGACATCCTAACTTTTATTTTACTTTATTGTGTTAATGGTATGCTTTTCTAGTGCTTGCTTTCTTGTCTCAATCTGAGGCAACGTGAACTCTCAAATTTTTGGTAATTATAGAGAAATATAAGGAGCATGCTGCGAAAATGGTCAAGAGGTCTTCCATGGGAGAGGATATTGAGCTAGATGTTTTGCCCTTGTCGAGGACTTGTCAGAGTCAGAGTATCAGAACCAAATTTAATGTTACTACATTTGTTAATGCTGTTGCAGGTAGTGGCCTTTGTTATTTTCTTTTGCTTAATTCATCTGTTTTCACGTTTTCAAATTATGTAGATGATCCCCCCCCCCCTTTTCTGCTCTTCGTGCCTGTTTGCTTTATTGTTTTGGTTCGTTTTAATTGGTGCATGTCATTGGACATGCCAATACATAAACCATGAAATGTTAGCTTTTATATAAACTAGATTTGTGGATCTGTATATGTAAATGATTACTAATCCAGCAATATCTTGTGTGGAGAAATTTTCAAAAGCCAAGTTTCACTCAATGGTGGTGTATTGGGAAAGATTTTTTGGTTTCTTCTCTGGCAACTGTTGTTCTGAGTGTTTGTTTTGACATGTATGCATTTGTGTCAATTTTAGAATATTTCTAATTACTTCACTTTTTTTGCTCCATCTTGTGAATATGTACAAGTCGTTAGACATTTCTACTTTGTAATGCATTCTTTTAATAATGGTCCCACATGCTGGATCGTAAATGAGTGTCCTTTGCAAGTTTTTGTGGCTTGTGACACCATAAAGAATTTTAACGGCTTATTTTCTTTTCTCTTTCGTTGTGGATTTAAAATATATAACTTCTGTGGGTTATTTCTTTTTTAACTTTGCATAGAGTTTTGTTTGAGTCTGTAAACAGTTAAAAAACAATCTTTTTTCTTTTGCTTGTGGACAATTTTTACCCACGGTTGTTTCTTCCATGAACTTGCAACATCAACTAATTTTTCTGTTTTTCAATGTTTTAGCAGCTAATTTGGTTGTGACAGACACTGCAAAGGCTTCAAGTATGGGGAACATCATGGTGAGAACTTCTTCCCATTATTTAATGTCATACTTTATTGTTCAATGCTCACTACCAACCCAAACTCCCTTTTCTGCATTGTTGGTTGATATGCATCGCCTTGTATCCTCCGTCTTTAGACCCATCAGCGCTATCAGGTTGATAACGAGGAGGGCATCTCAAAATGTTTTTGCTAACAAGTTGGCTTTAACCCCATATGCGACCTAGCTCCTCATCACTAGAAGAATCCACGCAGACTGGATTTGTCATCAGACTAGGATAGTCCAAAACTCTTATTCCAAGTGACAAAGCGAAAGCGAATAGATAAAGCTCTAGAATGCACTAGGAAGAACTGGGGAGAGAAACACCAGCGAATTTATTGATGAAAAATAGACAGAGCACATAACTTGTGGACTAAAATCCTGTTTATAATAAAAGAATTATAGAAAACAAATTGGCTAAAGTTACCATGAAATAGAAACCTTAGTCATTGTCGGCAAGCACATAATATACCTAATTAAATTCTAATGTTAGACAAAATAAAAAAAAATGAGACACTTCTAAATCTTTTCCACGTCACTCTTATGCTGATAGTTTAAATTTTTTATATTTTTCTTTGAAAATCTATATCTAATGATGAGGATAATGATGTATCGGATGCAGCCTATATGTGTTCCCAACCTAATGGATTTCATGTCTTCTCACATTTTTCAACGAGAACATGTTCTTATCAAATGTTGAACAAATAAAAAAAAAAAATTACGTGCTCTGTCTAGGTGGTTCTCTTGTGGTGCTCTCTTTGAGTTTAAAAGGCAGCTCCACTTGGTAATGTTTGGTTTATTCTTGTGCACTTTTGATTCTGGTGACTCAGCAAGGAGTCTTTTGTCCTTGTAAGACATTGTGGACCCTTTCTTTTCTTCTTCAGACAAATCTAACTTAATTTTGTCCGCATACACATGCTCTCTTTCTTTTCTATCTGAATGATAGTCTTCGTTGAATACAAAAAATTTTATTGTTACATACTTTGATTCGATATTTTTTGCCTTAAAAAGCCAAAAATATAGATTGAATGAAAGGAGCAAAGACTTGGTTGAGTAGTCAGTTGTGGGTGTTTAATATTTTGTCATTCTAGGCTTCTCATAAGATGTTAGGTGTTTAATATTTTGTCATCCTAGGCTTCGCATAAGGTGTTAAGAGCCTTTTGAATAAACTTGTGATCTTAACAAGTGTTTGATGCTCTGTTCAATGGTTAAACAGAAATGCAGTTAAAGATTTGACGTAGACAAACAATTTTTTTACTTGCTGAATTTCTTGAGGAACATGAGAACTTAATGGAAGTCTAGATACTTACAACAAAACACATAAAACCATACTGGAAGGAGACAATGGAAACTCATAAATGAAGTCAATTGGGTAATCTTAAACTTATCCGCCTTTTGGAAAAGCAAACTGATTATATTTGTCTGTTTTGGTTGCCTGTATGCCGGATTACCACTTTTAGGCAATATCATTTGAACTTAGGCTGAACATTTTAAATTTGTGTAGGCAACCTTTTAAGAAGACTGTATGCTGTAGATCATGTATGTATTCATCATACTAGCATATGTTGGAACTACAATTATTTTCCTTTGAATCAGGAAGGACCTGCTTCTATCTGTACGCTGGCTGATGGGGGCCTTGGGGATTGGTTTGGAGGCCTCTTGTTTTCAGCTGGCCAACAGGCAAATGAAGCTGTTCAGGACCAGTTAGCAGCTCTCAGTTTTACCAGGTTCAAGTCCTCTATAGATTCTCTTAATTTGCTTTATGTAGTTCAAAGCTTAGATGCTAAGCATTTTGTTTCTGGTGTGTGGTTGATGTGTTTTACTGTTGACAGTTTGGCAGTAATATTTGGTGCGGGGCTAGTAACTAGCCTATCTCCTTGTACACTGAGTGTTCTGCCACTGACCCTTGGATACATTGGTAAGATATACTGGGTTTTAAGTTGTGTAGCAATACATTGAGGATAACATCTTGTTATTGTTTTGCCTTGTATCTTAACCTTGGACTTACTGTAAATCATCCAGGGGCATTTGGTTCTGGTAAGAGCAGAGCAGAGGTAACATTGAATGCGTATTTTTCATTGTTGAGTTTCCCTTGTGAATATCCATCTCACCTTTTTATGTTGTTGGGGGATCTTTGATTTTATTTCAAGTTTGATGAGGTTAATTTTGGGTTTGGATCTTTTGTATCGAACAAATTTGAAAAAGGAAATTTGAACACTTTCAAACCACTTTGTTTAACTGAGACCAAAATACGCTCATATTCTTCTGCATACATGACATAATTTTTACATGCGTCCTCACAGTTTACATGAACTGCATATGCGACAAATATATAGGCTAGTTCTATCATATGAGTTGTATGTCTTGGTTAGGTCATTGGGAACTCTGTTGCATTTTCACTGGGATTGGCAACTACTCTAGCTATACTTGGCATAGCAGCCTCATTTGCTGGAAAGGCCTATGGACAGGTAGGGCAGGGACTACCTTTGGCTGCTTCTGGGTTGGCCGTTATTATGGGTCTGAATCTCCTAGAGGTAATTATGTTACTGCAGCTATTGTTTGATGGTCTGTATTTAATTAGTTTAGGTGTTAATAGTCTATATTAAATACTCAAGTTTTGCTGGGAATTTTATTATTTGAATATAACATTATGATAGGCCACTAAGATATTATGTCCATCTCTTGCAAATGTGTCTTTTGTTTTGTTATTTTTCCCATATGATAATTCTCTGTCAGATTATTAATAAGAGATTATACGACCAAACTTTAATAAATAGGGTATGCCAGTGCCTTTTTGTCTATGGCCTTGTTAACTTATTAGAATATGCCAATTATGATCTTGCTGGGATTTTTAAAGTGTTGCAATTATAGCTACCTATGCACAGTTAATGTGGCATCTTTCTGATATGCCATAGACTTGGAGTTTAGCATATGAGCAGTATGTTGGGTTTTGTTGTAGTCTTGGTAAAATTTGGGTGGAGATTCAAATATGCCCTGGTTATGGGAGTAGTGTACTGTGCTTAAATAATTGATGTTTTGGCTCTATTTTTAGTGGTTTGGAATAACATTACATTGGCACTAGCTAACTAGTGTGTAGAAACTATGAAATGTAAAAATCCTGTTAAGGTGGAGAGGAGTTCTTCAACATTCAGGTGCAATTTCTTTTTAATTTTAGTTACTTCTCTCCCTCTCAGTTGTGCTACTAATGTCTTTCTTTTTCCCTCCTACTCCTACCATTTTTTATGTGATGTTCTCTTCAATCTTTCTGTGGTTCCGTACCCTACTCCACTTCATTTGACTTGATTGATTTGGAGGGTTAGCACTGCCTCAAGAGTTAACACTTTGAGTTAGTATTCTTTCAAGTTTAATTTGACATTTATGAACTACGATTTTCCCTGTTAGCATTATAAATCTCAAGTTCATCGGATTGAGATGGTTGATAATGAAAGAACTATTGTTTGCATTTGTTGTTTCCATGCTTGTTCTTCCTCTTATTTCTCCTGTCCTGTTCACCAATGTTGCAGATTATTGAGTTACAGCTACCCTCGTTCTTTAACAACTTTGATCCCCGTGCTGCTGCTGCTAATTTTCCTTCAGGTAATGAGTTTTTCAATTTTCCAGAGCTCTCAATTATGCAAAGTTTTGGTCAAACTGGCACTCTGTATGCACTTGAACATTTGCTTCCTGAATTTAATTTAACAGGTGTCCAAGCATATTTGGCTGGTCTTACATTTGCATTAGCTGCATCACCTTGTAGTACGCCTGTGCTGGCCACCCTGCTTGGATATGTGGCTGCATCAAAGGTATTTTAATGTGTTTTTGGCAGGCAGCCATACCGCCTTTGATCATCTGGATCATAAAACACTATGTATCTATGATGGTTTGGAGAATTAGTTTAAGCAAAGTAAATCAACCATCAGAAATATTGAATGGAAAAACTAAGAGGGGCTTATTGGGTGATGCGCTGCATAATGCTTACTAACTTTGATCATATGATCAGTATTGAGTTTTGCTGAAAACATAGTTGCAATCATATGTTAAATAATTCACTTGATCCTCTATAAGCAGGATCCTATAATAGGAGGCAGTTTACTGTTGACATACACAACCGGCTATATTGCACCTCTGCTTCTTGCTGCTTCATTTGCAGGAGCATTGCAGGTATATGTTCCTATCACTCAAAAATGCTTTGTATGATACTTTTGACATCTGCTACTTGCTGCTTTTCCAATCCTTCCCCTGAGGATATGGTGCAAGATTACACATTCTTGATGGCTTGACCCTTATCATTAGTATTAAATGCTGCAATCTATTTAATTGCTCTAGTTTTGAATTCGTTTTAGGTGTTTAATAATTTCTAACCCATGGTTGTGCAGAGCTTACTTTCATTCCGCAAGTTCTCAGCTTGGATCAACCCCATGAGGTGAGCCTTGAGAATTTGAGTACAATCATATGAGTCCTTAAAGAATTCAAGATTTGTTCTTTGTGCATTTATCCCCATCTCTGCTTGCATTCACGTCATCACTATGATTGACAATCCATCATGTTGCGCATCCTGTAGTGATTAATTACCTACAGCAAGGCAATTTACACGCTTTTCATCTTCTGTTTTTTCATTGCATTCAGGCTTCGAGGGTCTTTGTTTCTGATACATGTCTGATTTTCATATTTATGCAGTGGTGCACTCTTGTTAGGAGGGGGTGTCTATACCCTGTTGGATAGGCTTTTTCCAGCAACAACAATGGCAATGTAGATATGTATAGGGAAATACTTTCCTGATTGCACTCTTGGCTAAGTCGATCGGTTTCAGGTAAAATAGTAAGCCATAGAAGATTCCATAATACACAATGGATGAATACACTATGAAATTGAAAAAAGAACAGTAATGAAATAGAGCAGTCAATGGAAAATACTAAACGCAGAGCTACTTGTATGCAGTTTGTATTCGTGTATGTGTTCACTTTTTTAAAAAATATGTACATGTTAAATAATGGGTTTCTTCCAATCTAGTAAATACTATCATTTAATGGACATGGAGGTGATGGGGTTGGGGCCAGATAAGATCATTTGACATTGATCTCAGCTGAAAATAAACGACGGAATGGGGAAGCAAGGAACACTTAAATGTGATTCTTTAAGACGAATGGTGCCATGTAACTCTTCCGCTGGGCAGGACAGAACAGGACAGAGGTATACTCCTAACTACAACTGAAATATTAATTTTTTAAAGGGAGAGAGAGAGAGAGAGAGATGGGTGTGTGGTGAATGAGAGAGTGAAGAAGGAAAAAAGAAAAAACAAGGGTAATTTGGGAATTGTATGTTATAAATTTGGGAGATTTAGTGTCTTGTGAGTTATACTTATCGTTAAAATTTTAATGTCTGTCCATTTTTGCAGAAAAAATCATAATTCAACGTGGTTTAGTGTAATAATTTAAATCAAGAGAACGTCGTGTGCAAATGACCCAAGTATAAAGGGGGAGTGTTTTGCTCAATTCTATTTTGTTACTAGTGAAAGTTTTAATATTTGATACGTTTAGGGGATCACGACACTCATAAATTATAACTTTTTAAGTTTTTTTTTCATAAATATTATGGTTAAAAATATTTGAGTTAATTTATGTATATTTCAATTGATTTTTTTTTTGATCTGATTAAGAGTAGGTCATTTACATTAGAATTAAAAAAAAATTAGGAATAAATCTCTCTATAGAGAGTTATGAAGGCTCAAATTCAAAATATCTACTTGTCTACACTGGGACCTTGTGGTTTTTCTCAGACTTTTGTAGCGCCAAGGAAACTTGTAATGCATGGAAGGTTCAAGTACCAACTATAAGCACAAGATTTGTAAGATTTTTTTATGTTTATCGGTAAAAAAAGAAAAAAACTAAGGATTCACTTGTGTATATGGCAATTAGAAACCACCATTTCCACATTCGAACTTGATGAATCCCGTGCTAATTCCCACTCTAAGAAATGGGAAAGAAGCTCTCCCTCTCTCTCTCTTCACCGCTGAAGCCATGCAAGCTCATGTCCATGGGTGGAACTGTGGAAGCCCAAGCAGAACGACCCAACCCAACAGCCAACTCTATCAACCCACAAACCTGTCTTTTCAAACATTTAAGTTGCACCGCGATTGATCATCTCTCTGTATTGATTCAATGACTCTTGTCTCTGCAACCTCATTTCGTCATTGAACTTCTTTATGAAAGCCTCCACACGTCTGTTCAACTCGTCCTGTACCGGCGACGGTTCTCTCCTGAGTTTCCCAGAACCCGGTGATTGACTCAGCGACGAGTTGTAGCTGTTGCCAGTGGCACTGAATGTCTCTGATTTAATCATCTTCTGTTCTTGAGATGGGTGGCCCACACTGCCAGAATGGAGGTGACGGCCGTGCGTCTCCCACGTGTCCGATTTTCTCAGGTGCCTCGTTAGCGGCATTGAACGGCCTTCCGTTATCGTCTTCCAAGTGTTCTCCAGTGTCTCTTGCCTCCTCGGCTTCGACACTCCCAACGTCTTCCCTCCTGAAAAAGATATCAGAGAGAGAGAGAGAGAGAGAAGGTTCAGATAGTGCTGAGAGCATGAGCAATATGTCACATGTGGACAGTAGCTGGGACGGATTTGTTTGAACGTGTTTGGCCTAATCTTTTCAAACCCTGTAGTACTGGTGGCTAGAAATCATCAGTAAATCGTTTGTTTGTCGTCTTCCTCACCGTTTTCTAGGGTTTATTTCGGCATTATCAGGCGCTGAGCGATATTCTTTTTATATTTGAATTTATATATATTTTTTTTTGTGAGGCTTTGGAAGTTTGAATTTGTGTTCAACTATTTAAAAAATAGATTTAAAAATTAAATTTGATAAATTTTAATTATTAAATAAATAATAAATTTTAATAAATATTAAAATTTATAATAAAATTAATAATTATAATTATTAAATCTAATTTTTAAGTATATTTTTTAAATTCATGTATATTGTTATTTTTTATAATGATAAAGGAATCAACTTCCTTAGCCTTGAGACCACAAAACTCTCAACCAATCAGATTCACGATCCATAGTCGTACTGATTGGTCGAGATGATTAATTATCGTGGTTTCGTGGACTTAGAAGCACCTGATTTTAACCACCGAAAGTACACCAACGGCAGCTTTCACCGCCGATTATGTGATGTCAAAGTTACCGTTATCAGCTAACATGCGCCGGAGATATCAAAAACCGAAAGCTTTTGGGCATAACCCTGGCTCAACAATCCCCGTGAACGCCGTTCCACTGAGAGAGAGAGAGAGAGAGATGTGTACCTTCAGGACTGGCTTTGACAGATCTCCTGTGCCCCAACCTAGAAGAAACCAGTGGTTTCTCACTCGAAACTGAGAGCGAGAACTCCGTCAAATCATTATTCATCGCATTCCACGAAGACTTGGAAATCAAACCCTCATCACTTCCATTCATCTCAGCACTGACAGAACTCACATTCGTCTCTGTCTCCCAAACCCTAGCATCCACATTTCTGTACACGTCAAATTCCGAGCCTTCAGCTACATTCACATCATGACTGCTAAACTCAAAAACCTCCGGCCTGACCACCTCCACCGCCTCATTCTTCAAAACGGCGTCGTTGTATGCCACCTCGTAGTCCGTCTGTAGTACATCTCCGGAGACCTTGATCGGCACCGTCTGAACCTGAACCACTGCTTCCATCGACGATGATGACTCCTCAATCTTCAACTGAAGTTTCGAAGAGGCAACTATTATGATGATGATACAGTTGATGATAAGGTACAGATACGGAGGCCTGAGCCACGAAACGAAGACGTTGTATGTTGAAGGGAGTTCTGAGACTGCAAACTCTGTCAGTACTGGTACTGAGAACTTCAATATCACCGCCATGGATAGAACACTCGTCGAAATCAACAAGATTTTAACGGATAACATGACATTACTTGAGTTTTGAGAAAGAATTGCCATTTTTCCTGGCTAGTCGTGCTTAGCTTGCTATGTTTCCGGCAACTTTCTGGCGACTTTTTTGTGAAGGAAAAATTTTGGTAGGCTACCGTCTGGGTTTGGGGTTGGTGTCATGTGGGACACTGAATTGGTGGTTTGATCTATTTATATATACATGGATGTGGGAAGAGGTGATTTTTCAATGAAATTTCGACCGTTGATCTGGGAGGGCATATAGTAGTAATGCCGAGTTGGAGTTTTGTGGGGCCCGATGGTTTCAGTAGACGAAACGTGGCACTAGACTCCATTTTCAAGAACAATCTGGCTAATGGCATCATAAACGTCTAGATGTTTCATAAACTTAAGCCATCTCAAACATGGATCTCTGGGATAATTTTTTTTCTTTTTTTTATCTGAACGTTAATGCCTTTTCATGTTCTAATGATTTATTATTTCCTTCTTCTAATCATATTTTATTAGGAGGGCAACTCAGGTGGGTTGGACTGGACAGTCAACTCTATTCTAATCCTAGGTATATAATTTTAACCCTAATTCTAATTCTAGCTCTACTTCAAATTGAGAAACTCAACCTGAGCATTGTCTGAGTTTAATTTGGACGGGTTCAGATTGAATTCGGGTTAATGATTACGGGTTGATTTCGAATTATTTTATGAGTTTAATTCGGGTTGAGTCCAAAATATGTTTGTTGTTATAAATTTAATACATATATCACATAATATTCACTTAAATTAACAACCAATAACTTAAACCAAGTTTTTAACAGTGCTAATGTTAGAACAAAAATGAAAATGAATGAAAGAGACAGAGAAATATAAAAAAAAAGTGAAAAATTAGTGCTAATATTATATATATATATATATATATAATTTTTTTTTAATTTGTAAAGTTCGGGTTGAACCCATGAACCCAAGATCTTAATCCGAATTTAATCCAAATTGAATTCGAGTTAGAATTTTTTGACCTAAGTCCAATCCAAATATTAAAAACTTTTACCTAAATTCTAATTTTTTTGGATTGAGCTCGGATTAAAATCGAGTTACCCAACTCAAGTTACACTCCTATATTTTATTAACATAATAATGGGTTAGCCAAAAATGGGTGCTACGACTTTCGGCCTCTCCATGTGCCAAAACAGCTTAGTCTTACCACTCCCCAACTGACCACCCTTCTGTTTTACTCTATCTAGGTAGACTGTAAATCGTATTGACAACTGGCTATAAGATACTAGCGTTGGTGCGATACATGAAATTTATAATTATTTTTGTAATGTTATTTTTATCCAATTGACACCTAACTACACCCACACCACACCACTATCTTACGGTGAGTAATTGACTCTAAGGATATCTCAAGTGGCAATAGGTTGAATTTAAATTTTGGTAATTTCTTAAGGCTAAGTTATGAATGATTTATCCTTTAGAAATCTCCTAGTTCTACCGTAGATGACTTGTCTTTAATTGAATTAAAGACAGATTAGTTGAGGTGTACACAAATTAATCCGAACATTCATGACTGTTAAACCCAAAAAGAAAGAGAGTAATTTGTATGTGCAACATGGGAATGGTGGGAGTGTTTACATAAGACAATACGAGAAAATTAGATTCAAGAAAATTATCTTTTTAATTTAATAATTTTAAAAAAAACCCGGAAAGTAAAGATTACTCTCTCATTCACAATTTGATTATCCCATACCTATAAATAAATTTTTGTGGAATAAGAATATTAGAATTAAGTTTTTACTTGGATATTTCACCACTTCTGTGAGATTCCCTAACAAGCAAGGTGTTAGGATACCATTCTATTACTCTCTCTGTTGCTAAATATATGTCGTTTAAGGTTTTTACATAGGAATTAAGGAAATTATTAAATAGCTCTAATATGAGTAAAAAATAATTGCACAAGATTAAAATATTCTTATTCAATACGTATTGAGAATGAAAAGAATATGAAAGACACTTAACCTCCACCAAATCTAATGCATTGAAAAGTTAAGGGTAAATTTGAAAGAAAAAATATTAATTATGTTTTGGTTTCATTAAACGACAGATATTATGGAATAAAAAAAATCATTTAAAACGACAGATATTTAAGAACAGATAAAATATTCTCTTTTCCCCTTTAGAATATCCACCATTTAAAATATGGTAGATTTTAATAACTTTATTCGACGTTCTCGAATAGACTTATACAACGGCCACCAACATCCCTCTTAAAATTATTCATATTATACCTTACCTTTAAGTACAAGTTATTCTTAATTTATAATATAAAACAAGACAAACTTTAATGAGTCCATTCAACTGTCTTAAATAGACTTATCCAACAGCCACCAACATTCATCTCAAAGGCATTTTATATTGAATTTATTCCCCCCTAATTCATAATTTCTCACTTACCATGAGTGTATATCTATATAATAAATCAGCTAGCAAATTGAATCTTTATCTCTTATATATTTTTTCTCCAAAATACATCACATAACCTAATTCTATCATATGTTCAATTATTTAATATTTGGTTAATTTGTAATTTAACATAACTTTTATTTCATATATTATTCATACATGATAGTGTGCACATATTAAAAAAAATTTGTCAGAGTTATGTATTTTAATAAAATTTTGACTCTATTTTTTAAAAAATAATGAGTAGAAATTAATTTTAAATGATATAAACAAAAAATTAATTTTAAATTTAATATAATTAGATCAATGTTTTAAATGTTAAAATCTTATATTTTATCGTGTTTTCGAAGACGAGTTTTTGACTAATGTGCATATAATTAAGAAGCAAGAAAACTCCTGCCACACACAAATCTGTTTGTACACGAAATGGACTGTGGCACTTCATGTTCAATCTAGTTTTTGCTACCACAGGTGTGTGCTGGTCCTAATACGACTTTTTGTGTCTGATGTAACATCTTTGTACTGTACAGTGTGTATATTATATTATATATATATATATGCACCTATACAGTTATGTGTGGTCTTATTTACTTCATCTTGCGTGATGCTTTAGCCTATATTTGATCTAATGGCCTCGTGTCCTTTGCTTCCATATTTGATTTTATTGAACATTCAAGGGTTGGTAGACACATTTCTACTTAGTCTTTGAGCATGTAAATGGAGCATGCCCAAAAAATAAATGGTCAACCCTAAGTTGTTTCTTGTGTAGTATTTGTGGTATTATACGATATTGTTTGTTTTGGACTAATTTCGTACAAGTTTAAAATGCATTGTATAATAAAAGTAAAAAATTCACACTTATATATACTATTTCATTAGTTAATATGTACTTGAGTCATCACAATCTAAACCCCGCCCAAATGTTCTTGTTTTGGCTTTGCGCCGACCCAAGCGATATGGGCTTTCAGGTAATTACAATATTTGTTCACGCCAGACTAGATTCGCACAATTTTAAAATGTGTAATACAATAAAGGTCAAAAATTCATGCTTGTATATATCACTCCACGTCTACTTTGCTAGTTAATGTGGGATGGAGTTATCACAAACACAAAAAGAGGTGTGCAGGCAGTGGAACCTGGTGACTTATGGTTTTGAGGATACAAATCGAGGTGTGGGTCCAAGTGAACTTAGGAAAGATCAAATATTCAACTATCAACCTCTTGATTTAAAGTCTTGCATTTTGATTTTTGTTTCGGCAATTACGTTTTGTCCAACTTCTCAAGGAATTCATGAGCACCACTTTCTTTCTAAGACGGATATCATTTCGCTTCTTATCGAATGCTCTTTAAGAGTCGGCAAATTTCACACCGTCCTTGCCAGCTCGACATGAGACAATTGAAAGGTAATTTTGAACCACGCTACGTACATCCAAATTCATGTCTTCGTCAATGAGTTGTTGCCTACATATATTCCTTCTAAATATGTAAAAAATTATTTTGTAAAAAAGATTGATATGAAGCTCGATATATATCTATATAATAAAGTAGTTTACAAATCAAATCTTAAAAGATAAACAAAATGACTTTTGCTATTCGCGGTTAAGATTATTTTAAATTTATTTTAAAATTAATTTAACGGCAAATATTAACACCTTCAATTTTAATAAAAAAAATAAACCCTTATGAGTGTATTGAGAGTAACTTTTTTAAAATAATTCTAAAAATTATTTATCATAAATAATTTTAAAAAAATAGTATTTGAAACTACCTCACCACTATCTCTACAACCCCCACCACCACCGTCACCACCCCCACCATAGTTGTCGTCGCCACCATCACCGCTGCCATTACCCCCGCCACCACCACCGCTGCCATATTTTTTATTCCTTTGTATTTTCAGGCGTAAGTAATCACTAGTATATATATAAAAATACATATATAATGATGAATCGTGTAAAATTTATTATATGAGTGATACAAATAATAGTCATTCACTGTTGTATATACAAAAACTTAGATCGTTAGGAATGAATTTGGATTTTTAAATCGGGTAACCCTACTGATAACAGCTAATATTGTTATTATCGCATGAGGTAAAATGCGATAACTAGGAATGACATACTAAGATATGGTTTTTATTTTCGGAGCAGAAAAGAAGAAGAAGAAGATATGGGTTATGTTTCTTCTGAGAAAGTAGTCCACCACAATGATTAAACATGGAAATTTCAATTAGGATTTGGGCTCATAGTCATAGTACGTCAGTGAAATTCATAGTCTAGAGCCAGAGCCATCAAAGGAACAGAATCTTCAACTTCACTTGTGGCTGTCTTTAGTTTGTCAGAAAGTAAAAACATGGAGTTCTACAAAAAAGCGTAGTCAAAGATTGGTGATTTTGTGCCCATCATATGTGATGGCACCGTCCAGTAGATGTATAGATGACAAGTGTACGTCCATGTATAAATATCTCTATCATAGTTTTTAGGGTTAATTACACTCGAGCCTCCTGAGATTTGTTCATTAGTTTGATGGCCCCTCTAAGTAGATAAAATAACATTACCACCTTCCGTTAGTAAGGTGGTAAAAATGACTAGGTGGAGCAAATAACATTATCATCAGTTCACCCCACTCCTCCAACCCCATTGAAGATATCTATTTCATTGAATTTGTTAGATCAGTAGTGCTGGTTTGGTGCTGTGGTAGTGGTGGGTGGTGAGCCAGATTGTGGTGGTTCGATGGTGATTTGGTTAGTGGCTGTGATTTTTAGAGGTTGACATTGTGGTGCAATGGTGGCTGGCGAGTGAAAGACCTTATCTTCACTGCTTAACTGAAGCAGGGATAGGTCTGTGTCTCCAAATTCACTGATTCTAAGGGTTTTTTTATGGGATGAAAAGAAGAGTTTGAATAGATGACTGATTTTAGATTTTCACTAGTTTCAAAGGCTAAAAATTGTAGTAATTGACTCGATAAATTTAAATATAGATAGAATCCAAATGAACAACCATCTGAGAATTTTCTACACCTAAATCGAAAGATGCCTTGACCCATGAAAACTACTGAGGGCTAGTTGTTAGTTGTTACCAAGTGATAAGCATCGTATGGAAGCGTAATTCTTCATACTTAATCTTAGACGTAATGAAACTAGGTTTTCATCCACATAATTGTCTTTGTTTCTGCTGTACCAAACTTGATTTCTGGTACACCCAAGAAGACCAAGAACCTGCATGCATATCCTGGAACTGCCTAACTATCATAACTACGTCAATGTGTTGCTGGTTAATGTCAAGTGACATTATCAACCAATTATAGAATATCATACAGATTTAATGAGTTTTACTATGTAATAACTACTAATAATCATCTTGTTTAATAACTGTCATATTAAAACAGTGAAATTCACCGATCTTATTTATTGTTTTATTATTGGTCGGTAAACCAATTCTATTTGGTGTTTTAAGATTGACTGTTGATACTACGTGTTAATGAATACATAAATCACCGATACACCCGCTATTTACTCGAACTCTTGGTGGTTAATTTCTTGAAAAAAAGAACCCCAAGTTGTTTCTGCAGTATCCTATTGTTATTTGAGTCTTAATAAATTCTACTTTTCGGGAAATGTGGAATTGATCAAACCAAACGGCCAACTAAAAAACACTAAGCACTGATCCACAATAATTCAGATGCTATGCTAAGACAACGGCAAGCAATCCAATCTCAACTCTGAATTTTCACGTTTCTCTATTATCAAAATTCATTCAAAGAAACAGAAAAGCCTAATGTTGTCACAGAGAGAGAGAGAGAGAGAGAGAGAGAGAGAGAGAGAGAGAGAGAGAGAGAGAGAGAAAATCGAATTCCAACCAATCTAAAAGTAAATTATTACTTCTTATAATAAGCTATAACGGGTACAAATGAAGCCACCACCCAGTAAAAGGATAACCGAAACTGCTTTCTCTACAAATAGTTTATAACCCCCCACCCCAATACAGGAGAAAAAACATCCAAAAGCTGCTTTTCAGTATATTACTTCTTTGGTATAGAATGACATGACTAGCCAGCATCATTTCCCTCGAGGATAATCAGCGTTTTGAGAAAAACCCTTGTGTTAGGGAGGAGAAATCATAATCTTTCCCCGGTTGTGCAGGAGATGCAGATGAAACTGGAGATGCTGATAGTGGTCTACTAGCTCCCAATGGCACTGCACCATTACTAGAAACATCGTACCCCATAGCATAAGTGCTGCAATAGAGGAAGAGAAATGATGAATGGAAGACTAAATGCATAGCAGAGATTTGCTCAATTAGTTGCCTTTCTTCTATCTCTAAGCATGAAATGAAGGAAACTACACATACAAAGAGAAGTTATATGCATATATTATATACCTCCAATTTCCGATAATAATTAGGAGTCTAGGACAACCATTATAATTATGTTGTTGAACCGTGTTTTTAACTTATTCATGGAAAAACTATGAAAACCTAGGCCCTCATGTAGAACAATGGAAGTCTAGGATTTGGAAGGAAAAGCAACTACTGGGATTGACTACTCGGGATCTTGACAGGAACTGAAAAAAGAATAGAGTAATTTTAGAAAATCTGGCTTTCAAACACCCGGAACATGCATTTGGCCAATAAATCCATCAAGATCTGACACGTGATACATACCTGGATGGTGGAAAAGAAGGGGAGTTTGCAACTGGATGCGTTGCTCCCATGTTCCCCATCTGGCATGAGAATCAAAATCACAGAATTTGAGTACTGTTGCAATAATAATCAAGAAGAAGGTGACTTTTGCTCCACCTGAATATAATTATCCATCCTGAGAAAATACCTGCATGAATTTCTCTAGTTCACTCTTTCCAGCTGCCGGCATCATCATTCCAGGAAATTGGTAGCCAACATTTGACCAATGTTGAGCAGGTAAGTTGGTGCCATTGGACCCTTGTGCATTGCCCGGAAAATTTGGCACCCCACCAGCAGATTTAGCGACAGCAGCCATAAGAAGGGAATTTTGCTGTGCCAGCATAGCAAGTTGCTGTTGATGAAGAGAAAATGGCGACACCATATTGGACTGCAAGACACAACACTACAGGATTAGATCATTGACTGTAAAAAAAGTATTCAGAGGAGCCGTAAAACCACGCCAACACAAACAAATAACTACGCCTGCACTTTCGGTTTTTATTTAAACAACTTCATTTAACTTGAATCTCACAGAAAAACTGAACTTCAAACTTTCAAAATCAAAATCATCCAGCAAAGAATTCTTTAGCAGATACCTTGTCAAAGAGGCTCATAATGTCATTCTTAGCCGCTTTTTGAGGCTTCTGTGAGGTGGTAGGAGGTGCAACTGATGGTGAATCTTTAAATAAATCTTCAATTCCAGACGTTGGCAGGGTTTTATTATCGTCTGATTTTGTAGTACCAGGTTCCTCAGCTGTTGATGTTTCTTCAGCAGCTGCAAGTTGTTGGAGAGCCAAAGTCAATGGAAGTACAAAAGCAACTACTCTTGGTTGGGTTATCTCATCAACAAAAACAAGCATGAGTAGACATACACTGGAAACCTGCCCATGCATTATCATCAGCAGAAGCTGCCACAGAGCCATTTTCACTAGGACCATCCATAGAAAGCATGTTGAAAAGATCAGTAGCATAATCAACTTTAGGGGGAGAGACAGCTTCTGCAACCTGCTTTGTGGATTCAGCTGGTGCAGCTAGTTCTGCTTTCTGAATCTCCTGTTGAGGCTTTGAAGCAAGGGGGACCTGTTTGCATCATATAAACCACGTAATGCATAACACACTACAGCCTAACCCTTGAGTGGTCCCAAACGAAAACATCAATTCATTTTTGTTTTATAAAAATGCAATCCTATTTGACAAAATGGAAGGTGCATGTCTCAAGAAGATATCACTAAGCTAACCAATGGATTTTCATAACAATTCTATAATTACTCGCAACCAAAATTTCAAAAGATAAGATAACCAAAGGGTATGGAAACACAGGGAAGGGAGGGCACAAAAGGTTTCAAGAAAATAAGCTGAGCAACAAAACTAGTCATACCGGTTCAGGTCCTTTCGGAGGCACAGGTATACTAATTCTTGCAGCAGGAATGCTTTCATTCGAACTTTGTACATGGAAGTTATACCTTCCATCAGATAAATTTTCAGAATTCGTAGCATATCCATGCACAATTCTATCACCAGTTCTCTGCTTCTGCACAGAAACCGTTTCTTCACACCCCCTAGAAGGTGACTTTGGTTTGCCATCCTTCAGAACCCATCTCTTGTCCTCATACCTTTATATACATGTACACGAGATGTACTCTTAAAACTATATTTGGATAATCAAAGATTAACATTCAACAAATCATAACAAGCAGAACACAAAATGGGTGATGATAGTGGTGAAAAAGCACATACTTTGCACGAATGAAATTCTCAATCCCAACTCTATCATAATTTGGGGGTAGCTCTGCTTCCCAATAAGCATTTGCCTTCTCATTTCCCATTGCTGGACACAAAGAAACACCATTACTAACATAGAAGCCTTTTTTATATCAATCAGTGCCAACCAGAAAAATATCAAGCTCATGCAATCAGAAAAAGCTTACACTGAATGAATGCAACCTGTTCAGGCAGCCAAGTGTCTAGCGTAGCAGACCTCACCTGCAGAAAAGGCAAAGAGAATCCATCACTAAATATTGCAAATTATAATTTTCTTCCTATCAAACCCAAATTCGAGTGAGAAATCAGATAATATATAAATATATGTTTACTAAATGAAAGGTTAACCGAAGATAATTTGTATTATTACAGAGCATGATAGATAAATGGGAATAGGTTAGCAGCGTGTGTGTGACAGAAAGCAAGAGTGAAAAAGCAGAAGGATACATGTGACACATATCATTGGTCATGTGTCAAGAAGTGAGGTGTGAAGAAATTCTTGATCCCCTAAGAAGCAGAAGCTTGATACTATATTGCTACCTATAGTTGGCAATGATACTGAGAAATGAGAATTCAAGAGAAGAAGTTTTGTTATTGATAGTGGGGTTGTCTCAGCAAACAAAAAATGTCAGCCTTTAGATGATCAAGAACTCAGCTCAAGACACCTTCAGGGTGTTCAAACCTTCGATTTCCAAGGCACAACTCGCAAAACAAATTACTTCCTTGCCAAAGTAAGCCACATGTATTCAGCATTATGAAATTAAAACTATAGGGAACTTGCCATGTCATAAAGTCGACCATTGTTTCATAGTCATTAATATATCCTTACTACTCAATTGATTAATCATATTTATGAATTTTAATATTAGAAAACTAAAGAAATGGTCACATTTCCATAAATGTCATGCAGGGTGCCGATATACATATTATGGCAAGCACAACATGCAGATATATATACACCAATAAAAAACATGCCAACAATGCAAAGAAGGGAAGAACATATATTTTCAACAGATGGTATGATATTGCAATGCAATGTAAGTCAAAACTGAAACAATCAAACAGTATGTGTTAACACACACGTGCACCAAACGTTGATTAGACAATCACAAGAATATATAGCTGAGTACTATTGTTGAAGAATTAAGAAATCAAACAAATACACATTTGCATCATTGCACAATGCCATGTTCATGCTCAAGCCTGATTGACTTCACAACACCTTTGATCAAGCCAAGGCATTATAGGTGTGCTGCTACTCCCGTACATTGTAAAATTGTTTTATTGGTGGGCAGTGCCACTTTCATAAAACACCAAGGATATGACAACACATAAGCTTGTGGTACTGGACTTTCTACTCAATGTTATTGTAAATAAAAGGATACCGAATTTTAAAACAGGTCAACCCATACACTTCCATTCCCATTATATTCAATATCGATTCTAGCCCCACCATGAAAGGACACAACTGAAGAACAAAATATCACCTTTGATATGTGAACCCCAAGACTTCTGTGGATCCCGGAACATTGCATGCATATAAAAATGCCTAGATTCACACTAGCCCATCGAGGACCCCTGCAAATCAAAGTCAGTATTAGCAATTCACATACATAACATTCTTCATTTAAAACTCATTGCCGAGTGATTCAGCAATCCACTAAGATCCATAGTTTCTAGATATACTATTGTCCGCCAATTATTTCTACACAATTTAGATGAAAATCTCTGGAATTTCATTGTTCCAGATACATACTTGCTTCTGCAGTCAGCACATTCCCTATTCTCTGCCAATTTAAGAAGTCCTTCCAGTATCTGCAAATGAGCACAGCACAACATGAATCAATTTGTAACAAAATAATAGACCGATGGAATAGTAAAGCCAATTTAAAAAGAACTGTTTTGGGGAAGAATGCTCTAAATGAAAAGGCTGCTATAGGATAAATATTGTATGAAGGAAAAGGATTATAACCAAGAACATTAGCCAAATACTCGAACGCCATACAGTCAGCGAGTGAGCAGGTACGGCAGCATTCAAAGTTAAGATCATGAAACCCTATGGAAAGCTCAAAGTGAGTCATGTGAGTTAATCGACAAAACCAACAGCATCTTCATTAGTTTGTCTTGGTCAACGGTGAGTGGATAATGGTCTTAAAATGACAACCAATATACAAAAGCTGGTCTAGGGTAAAGCAGTCTGTCTGTCTCAGCTCAACTACCTAACTTCTTTTATAAATACTTTTTTCAAGCTAACTTCTTGATTTCAATTTCATTTATTATGTGATGCAGAACCACAAAAGATTTACAATTAAATTAGGGTCAGAATATACCAGAAGTTCCCATGCCAATGCAATATCAAACAGCTTAAATCGATTTTACCATTGAAATTTCCGCTCATGATAAACTTCCACAAGGAAAACATATTAGATGGATCTTCCAGTTATAATAGGAAGTTGAGGGATGAGTCTTCTCATTGAGTCTCCCAACAATGGACTTACTATCTCAATCAAGCTCTTTTATTGCATTCAAAGTATGCCTAGTTCTCTTATTTTTTAAGAGTCTAACGTTATTTTCATCAATCAGTCGACGCCGACATCTCAATGGCTGGGGACTACCTTACTCATAATAGTCACTATGGTCTGCTTTCCAATTGCTAGTGTTACCAAAACTTGACACCTAGAGTGGGACATAAGGCCTAGTGAAGAGCCCTTGACAAGGATGACTATTGATGCCTTGAACTCAACTCTTCTAGAGAGTCCTCCTTCCAAGGGGCTATGTTATGTCCTAACCATTCTTTGCAAAAAGCCCTAAAAACAGTAGTTAATAACGGATTTATTCAAATATTGGAATAAGAGTCAAATACCTTTGACTCCCGCACCCAACTCATCAGATACTATAATAGTTATTAGGGTCGGGACGAGAATAATCAATTCGTCTTGCCTATCGATTATCGGAGAAGTCTTGACCCCCGAGCCTTCCCAAACGCTATGTGAAACTCTATAGAAGGCATATATCTTCCTAAAAAAATTGAAGAGGCGATAATGAATGGTCATGTCATATTTGGGGATCTATGTCATAACATGAGTTGGAAGGCTCTTTTGTAAGAAAGAGTAGAGAGATAGAACCAGTGTTTTAAAACCCGGCCCGGCCCGACGGGTTGACCCGGTGACCCGATGAACCGGTCCCCTAACCGGGCCGATTTTGTAATTGGACCGTTTGAGCAAAGAACCGGTCAAAAAACCGGTAATCCGTGAAAACCGGACTGGGTTTACAAAACCGGCCAGTTTTGTTCCTTTAGTATAAATATGTTTTTTTTTTACATTTTTGTGTCTTTTTCTTTTCCCCTTCTGTTTTGCCCTAAATCCTAAATCATTCGTTCAGTGTTTGTTAACTCAAAAATTAAGTGAATACAATTAAGTGATTCAAGTTTGAGGGTGGAAGCTAGACTGTTAATTGAATGCACTGGTTTGTTAATTGAATGCACTGGTTTGTTAATTGAATGCAATTAAGTGATTCAGGCTTGATAACTTTGTTTGATTTAATATATATTAAACATGTTATTTTTATAACTATTTTAATTTTTTAGTCTATTTATCATCATTAATAATTATTTTTTATTTTTTTATTATATCACCGGTTCGACTAGTGACCCAGTGGTTGAACCAGAAATCCATTGACCCGGTCCCTTCTCCGGGTTGGTGTCCGGGCCGGGTTTTAAAACTATGGATAGAACAAAAATCCTGAAGAATTACAAGGGATAAAGGAATAGGACTCATAGTGCTGAAAGAGTTCCAGTCTATCTAGGGCATCTCCTTGACTGAAGGAGTACTGAAGATACTTGAATTTGCTCTTAACATTAGTGTGAAGATAGTCAAGGTATTCTCCACTCCTTCTACAGGGGATTCAATAGAGGACTTATATATTTTATTGATTGACCATTGATAGATCAGACTATCACCTCTTTTTGTTGAGATTCTCTTATACAACGAACTTGTTTAGGTCAAAGAAGAAAGAGGCTAGGAATCAAGAATCTTTCCCTTTGCCAAAACAATAAAGGACTGGTATTAATTGACACAAGAAAGCAATTCCCAACGGCTAAGTTTCTGAATTTTTGACTTTTGTGAACCTTTAGTTAGACCTAAAGTAGAATCATTCACAGAAAGTTGGAACAAATAGAAGAAAAGGATATTGGCAGAACATCAAGTAACCCATTTAAGACCTGTGTCTCTGGTTCATAACACCAAAAGTAAAACAAAAGAATTTTGAATCCTAATGCACCTATTGGCCACTAAATAATCCATACACACATTAGTTGCTTAGATCACTTTCTGGAGAAAAGCTTACACCAATTATTTTGAGTCTGTATGCAACATGTGTATACTTTATATATTGCTTTGACAAACTCACTAAGCAAATTTTGTCCGCAGATAAACCCAAATGAAGAATTAGTCATTATCCCAAGCTATCCCTAGAGGAACGCTTTTCACTAAAGCAAAACAGACACCCAAGCACTAAAGGTTATAGGAATCAGTCCTTTACTCATTTATACAACTGTTCCCATCTGTCTAATTGAACTATGTGCAGAAGCAAAAGTGGATTAACAATTTTTGTCAACATAATTAACTTACCAAGTATGATATTCTACACACAAGCACTCCCTAAACATAAAAAACAGAAGTATAATACAGCATAGTAGCTCAATCATACATCTATGGTTGTGTCCCTTGTCAGAATTTGAAGGGGCAGCCTAGTCCAACACGTACCTATGTAATATGCCAAGCACCATAGGGCAACAGCAACGGTGAATAAAATTGAGCCCCACATGGACAAATGCCCATAAATCAGATAAGTCAAAGTTTTATAGAAGGAGTTGCAGATGTGACCTAGTCCCAAAATAAACTAAAACTAAATAACCATGATTGTTTATAAGAACCACAGTGGTCAAGAGGTAAACAAAGGTGCATGGTAAATCATAACACAACACACAAAGTTAATACCAATTACTCATACGCCTGGAGCAATTCTATCAATACAAGGTATACTAAAAGTACATAAAAATAGAAAACAAAGATAACTGAATTCTCCTGATATACATTTCAACCTTACGGAAGTTCCATACCACAGCCCAATTTTTCAACCACTTTAAGGAATTCCAACAAGAAGCCCTATTCAATGCTTGTTTGTATGATTGATTCAATGGGAAATGTGAGATCTAAACATATGATCCAAATCATAGGTTAGCTACCGTAAGTCACTCTAAAATAAAGTTCCCAAATAAATTATTCTCCTCACAAGGGACCAGAATTTTGATGGAAATTATAATAGAATAGAGGGAGGAATACAGACTCCAGCTTTTCAAAACACAGCATAATATAGCCATCACTCATATAGTAAAAAGCTCGGCCGATAGTGCTTAATCCATTATCCAACAATCTATGCACAATTTCTATCAAATCGTAATTAGACCGCTATTCAATATCATGTAACCAATCCGAAAAAAAACATAATATGAAGAATTATGACTAAAACATCAATTGATCAATCACTACTCCAAGGTCAAACCACTGCAGATCAAACCTGAATAAGATCGAAATAGAATACTCGCGGCCAAATCAATAGATCAATGAATAAAAATGAGACCTTTCTGTGCCTGGCATTGAGCTCTTTGGAAACATTGGCCTTCCCGTTCATGGTGACTAATTTCTGCTCGATAATTCAACACTAATAATCGAAAAAATGATATTTTTGTGCAGTGAGAGAGAAGAAGGCGAAGATTGAACGTTAAGCTCTCTCTCTCTCTCTCTCGTCTCTCCTCTATCTTTGCTTCTCTCTCTCTTCTTTCTCTATCGAAACCGTCCGATTAGCTGAACACTGAACAACGGAGAAGATAGAGAGAGAAAAGAAATAAAAGAGAAATCGGAAGGGGGTCTTCTGATTGACTTTTATTGCCCTTTCGTTTCTCAGTTTCTCTCTCTCCCTCCCTTCCCCTGTTCGGACTCGGAGGCGTCGGGTATGTGCTCGTGTGAACAGAGTTGTTGTTGGGTGGAGTTCTGTTCTCGCACGTGTGAGGAGCATGGCTTTGGTGAGAATGGGATCCACGCGGATTGTTGATGGCAGTGGGTTTGGTACTCCAATAGTGAGGGGACATGTGTCCACTTTCAATTATAAAACAATTATCTAATTTTGTTAGTTATTTCCAAAAAGTGCTTTACAAATATAATTTTTAGTAAGAATTATCAAAATATTGGTGTGATAATGATACTTATATCAATACATTAATGATTTTGATTTACAAAATAAAAATAAATTAACAGTCACCTTGTGCGATACACAAAATTTATAATCTATGTCCACTACCATTTCCTCCCACGACCCTCAACATCACCCTTATGACCTCCACTTCCATCTCTACGATACTATTATTGTAAAAAACATCAATAAGATAAATTAAATTTTTAAAAATTTAAAATATAAAATAATTATTAAAGAAAATAAAACAATCAAATATAAAATAATTAATTAATAAATATAAAAAAAATTGTTACATAAGCCAAATAAAAGAATTTAATTAGAGGAGACTATTAAATAATCAAAACTCATTTATTATTGCCCCATCGCGTAGGTTGTGGACCTAATAGTGGACCATGGTTCAACTCTTTGTCAATCATGACAATCTTGCATTCCATATTATTATTATTATTATTTTTGTTATTAGTGTGATCATCATAATTTAAACATAAACAAATTTAAAACATATCTATTGAAGAACAAGGATATCAAACTCTTATAAGATATGAAAAATGTGAAACCTGAAACTTCTGAACTATTAAAGACTATATTCAGGTCATTGAACCACCCTAAAGATTAATCTTACATTCATTTACAAGACCAATATTCATACTCGAATGGGTGATAATCTATAAGCTTGCACAGACTAGCTTTACAAGATTAAGCATATGGCAGGTGAGAGAGTATATGTCTTCTTCTCTATATCTTCTTTTCCATATATATCGAGTACTCATATAGCCATATAGGACATGTAATTCACATTAAGCCCGAAACAGTTTCCGGAAGTAGTCGTATTACAACAGATTCCCCAAGAGACCTACTCATTCGATTCTCCTTGCAAAATTGAAACCAACCTACACCCTACAAGCCAAAAATAAAACAAGCATTTGGTTTCATTTAAAAAGCTGGAACACAATTGTGTTAGAAAATGAAGTTTACAACTTGCAAAGCCACTTTCCTCGCGGATCCTCTCCCGTATTACAAGTTTTGATGATCCCAGAATTATCTGGAGTTCCTGTACAGCAGGAATGCGAGAGTTCAAGCTCTGTTGGTCCAATTGACAGTCCAGATAGTAAAAAGTATGTGCATCACAACCCTTATGAGACATTGAATGCACTGTGTGATGCATCATCCCGGAAAAAACAAAGGGTAGTGAGTATACAGTTCATTGAAGTGCAAAAGTTATTGCCATATACCAGTATATCATAAGTGGAAGCCACCTCATTCCATATCTTTCACTTCAGCTTCAACATCAACAACAAATGCAGAAGAATCCTTTCCTGTAGGCAGCATGCAGAGAGAAATTCAGGATTTGAGTGATACTTGGAACCATATCAGAAAGAAAGAAAGAAAGAAAACGGGTGCTGACAGCAAACTTCAGCAGGAATGGCCAAAAAACACTTGGGTGCATCCTCCCCCTCGGGGGAGGTATGTGGGGAGAGGGAGAGGAATGAATCTGCTTAGTTGATTATTCTGGCAAAGGTCAACTGTATTTCATCCTATATGAATATTTCACCAACGGACCCATTGGAACAAATGGAATCTCAATGGAAATGTAAATGAATCCAAACTTTAACCAAAAGGCAAGAAAAATTTGTTGCAATACTCATGGTATGAACTCATCAGTCATCACGCGCTGAGATAAGAGGAAGCCACAAAAAAAGTAGTGGAAGCATTAAGCCTAGATTCTCAAACCTGAATAGTTTGTACTTTCTATGTTCCAATTAGGTGGTAACAGATTCTAAAAAACAAGTAAATGAGGCAACGGACTTTGGAGGGAGTACCTCTTTTTGACCGAGGAGAGGATTCACTGAATGCATCACCAAATGTTGTAGATTGGTTGGTGAACTTTACGGGATCTCTTACAAACTCATCACCTACCACTGTAACAAAAATAAAAATATTGTAGCCAGACAGAAGATGTGAGGACCAGCTTGCTTCCTTATCACAAAGATGTGCTCTAACTACAGAATGCTAAATTAGTCAAACAATATAAGTTTGCCAGTATTTTAATCAATTTTCATCTGATCACCACATAGAGCTGTGGTTTCAGTATATCACTCGACTGCAATGGAACTCCTCATGAGCCAAGAGATCTATCAGGAACAATCCATATTATGATTATCACCCTTTCCTTTTTTGGCTGAACTCATTCTTTAGAGCACACAAAAATAAACACTGTAAAGGTTATCCAAAAATAATAAGATTGAGCTGATGATCAGCTCAATTTTAAGAAGCTCAACACTTAATTTCAATTTCAACCCATGTTAGAACTTCCGAATGATGGAAATATGAACCAACTAGAACCTTTGCCTTATTGAAATGTTTCCGGTTTTTCAATAATACAGAATCAAAGATATTCGGTAACAGCTTCATTCAATTTCTACCAAATTAAGATTAACAACAAAGGCCAAATTATAACTTCATGGTCCTTACATTCATTAAGATAAAGAGACTGAAACATCGGAACACCAGAAACAGTGCTGGTCTTGATGCCTTTTACCTTTTGGTAATAAGAAAGCTTCTTTGGAGGCATAAGCTCCCACAGAAAAAAAAGACGATGCAGAAGTATATGACTGTCAATATTAAGATACAGCTACTGTGGGAAATGGGATGAAGATTGCAGGGCAAAATATTTGTGTATTTAGTTTTATACCATTGGTTTGAAATGGTCTAGTTTTCTGTTGGCCTGTTTTTTGATAAATAGGTAGCAGTCAAATGATGAGAGGAATGAAAACAAGAAACCAGATTAATTAGTCCTTTTAAATTTCACCTCAGGTTGTTGAATCCAGACTAAAATTATTATAAGCATATGTAAACACTGACTTCTGAAAACAATCATTAAAACATTTGGACTTAGAAAAAGGCAAAATTCCAAACAAAGGGTACAATAGTACTAAAAGTTTGAAATTCAAGAGGTTTAAAGATAACTAGAACCAAGAGTATATATGCGGAATGGAATTCTGGAATAACTTGAAATGAAATTAAGTTGTTAATCTCAGTGATGATGAGATGACATGTAGACACCATTTTTCTTATCAACACAACTGTACATGATCAGAAAACATGGAGGATGGTGCCCATAAAATTGGAAGAGCATAAATGAAGTACTTTTGTGATGTTGCACAAGCAACAGGTAACTATCTAATCTAACTGAAGGAAAAGTTTTAGAAAACCTATGAGACCAATATACTATGAACCTAAAGTTGAGTTCTTAAAAAAATAAAATCCATATAATGGGCATGACTTGAAGGTAGTTGTAAGATGGATGGGTGACAACCCCATAAGGGATTGTAAATAGAGATAAACAATAACAAATCAGTTAAATTAGTTGTGATGATAAGAGAAAAACAACAGAAGCCGATCAAATGAAGAATGCTTAGGGGTACGTTGGAGGGCAAAAAGGGACTCAACAAGAACACTAAGAGAAAACATGTGCCATCTGGCGAGAATAGCATGGCAATCGATAGAGTGAAGTACTGACAAGAGTCATAAACCGGCTTCAAACAGCTGGGATAAATTTTAATTCTTGAGTGACTTCAATTGTTTCAAAATTCTGAAAGCAAGTCTACTACATTCCACAAAAGCTAATTAGAGCCACAAGTTTTGATAACACCACAATGAGTAAATTTGACTTAGACACCAAAACAAAACAATTAATTAGGATGGCATCTCGAGTATAATAGCTAAAAATGGCAAGAGTTCTAATATTTTAAAAAATATAAAGTCCGAGCCATAGCAGTTACCTGAAAACGGTTGACTACAAAAGGGACACAGCTGCAAATCATCATTTAGAGTAGATCTGCAACAAAAGGCACAGTAACCAAGCTATATAACAAAGCTAGAGAAGGGTCCATAAATTATATTACTAATAAAATGGACGATTGATCTTACTTGAAAATCTGAAAATCATTTCCACAGTTTGGGCACTGCATGTAGACCAAAAAGGCAATTACTAAATGCAGGAAAGGACGGCGTTTGTTTAATGTTTAATATACTCCTTTGCATGCCATAAGTCAAATGCTCGTATTTATGAACTCAGGCTTTGCTACAGGTAGAAGTAGCATACAAGAAACTCTCCCCTAAAATTCTTTTTCAACAGATTTATGGAAGGTCTTGCCATTGGGTAAGACCTCGTCAAAATAGCACAACACAACATGACCAAATATCAATGTTTTTAAAAGCATAGATTATGAAGCAAACAAATGACCAAAATAACAATATATTTTTGTCAACAATATGATAAGCAAGTTAAAATTAAATTTCTAGTAGGTCCCCCATGAAAGTCATTGGACATCAAACAAAAGTTGAAGTATCCTCACACTGCCTTGAACTATATCTCGCCCTGCCCACCACAGAAAAGCTCCCAAACCAACAATTGGTAGAACAACTGCAAGGATCTGGTTGTGCAAAAAGAAAAAAACAATCTATGAGATCCAAGAACAAAAAAGGGGGTTAGTGTCAGAAGCCACAAGATGATTGTTGCAGATAACTACAAACTCATAGACAAAACTATCACAAACACGAGAAGCATATGTAAAAGTATTTCATACTAAGAGCGACATGACTGTTTGGCCGCAAAATAATTAAAATCAAGGCAAAGTTGGGCTACAGATGCCTACCCAAACAATTAAATTAAAGACAGAAACATGGTACACATAAACATCCAGTACATGCACACAGACATACGCTTAGAAATGCATAGATTGTGCAAGAACCAAAATCTCACACAAATTTGTGCACGATTTACATGCAGTTGCAGAGTGACGGGCATACAAAAGATAAACTAAAGCATTAAGTAGAACAAGGCAACAGTACTTCCCATTTCTTGCATGTGTCTATGTAGAACTTTAATAAGCAACTGACCAACATAAGATACAGGCCTAAAAAATTTATACCTCAGACTCAAAATTACAATCAAAACACATCATGTTAAGGTATATTCATTCAATAAATCCTACACTCCTCTTTGCAATTCCTGGGTTACTTACACTGCATATTGTAGAAGCTCTATTACCTAGTGTAGAACAATCCTTGCAGATAATGATCACATGCATACTCAGTGTGTGTGTGTGTGTGTAAGAGAGAGAGAGAGAGAGAACTATACCCAGACAGAAACAATTGCATCCAAAACCCAACCAAGCTGCCCAGTCATTGAAAGATACGTCAAAGCAATAGCCAAAGCAAGATTACCCAAAATCCTTGCAGTGTTACTATTGTCTCTCCCACCACCACCACCACCACCATTAAACCCAAACCCCTGATTGAACCTCACCACAACCGCCCTCTTCTTCCTCTTCCAATCCTTCCCTCCCACCAAGACCCCATCTTTACCCCTGCTCAATCCCAATAATGACCATCTTTCTCTATAAACCCCAATTTCGAACCGATTTTGATGAAAAGAACCAATCTTTGTTCCTGACAGAGTGTTACAGCTATTAGGTTGTGACACTTTGAACCCATAACAGTTCTGTTTCTTTCTTGAATGATCATGTAATGGGTTTAAGGCTGAGAATTTAATTGAAATTTGGATAAGTGTTGTCATGGACAAAGATTGACAGTAAGCAACTTCAGAACAATCAAACTGGGTTTATCAATGGAGGATTCATGGTTTTTAAAGTCCCAAAATGGATAAAAACGATAGGATTTTTGTAGCTCTTTATATAATCAGACCAGACAGCAAACCCACCCCCCTTTCTCCGCATGTGAGATTTTTTGCACCCATTTTGTTGCGACTTGCGAGTTTTATAACATTTTTTTTTGGGTAGTTAATAAATTACACGTTCTATTTTCAATTAATCCTTATATCAATTAAGTTCTTTTAACTCTGTAATTATATCTATTTCAGAAAATGATAAAGTGTGTTATACAAATAAATTAGAGTAAACTACGTATATAATCTTCAAATTATAACTATTATATCAATTAAATTTTAAAACTTTTTTTTTTGTGTTAATTGAATCTCTGAACTCTCTAACTATATCAATTGAGTTTTTTTGTTCGTTTCAATTAAATTGTGTCACTCACGTGATCATATGACACAAAAAGACACAAGGGCTCACTAATTCTTCCAACACAAAAAAACTTGGTGCAAGGTAACAAATTTTTGACCCAATTTGTTTTGACTAGGATATTGATCAATTAAACTTTTAATTTTACAAGAATGTGAGTGATAAAACTAATCAACAAATAATGAGATTTGAAAAGTTTTGAATTATGGATTATGTCGATCTGGATACACTGGGTCTCGTTTAATATCAACTCATTTCCCTTAATTAAGTAAATATGTTAAAATTGATTAGTATTTGAGAAAAAAAACTCAAAATGACATAACATGAGTCACATCACTTTGATTCCATCATATTCAAATGCGTGAAGATGGATTGATAAAGACAGAAAAAAATCAAGGGGAAGGAAAATTCTGCTAGAGGATTATCACAAGGACTGGGCTTACTTGGTGTGTTTAAGATGACTCGTTTTAACCGGTAACAAGCATTCGAACTCGTGCTGTTGTTGGCGGATTTTCATGATTGTCAAACGAGAAACTGGTAAGCTAGAAGAAGGGTGTCCAAACTTATGCCGACAATAAATACCATGAACGGCGTCAACGACACCAGAACTGCGTAGAAATGCATTTTCAGCTCTCATCTGATACCTGGTCGGCCCAAACAATATGTTGTATGTTCAAATGCATAAATCAACCTGTCTTGGATGAATTGTCTTACAGTTCTCTCAGATTTTGCTGTAGCAAACACGTTATGAACTAGACACAACTTTTACATGCTATGTTTGAATTCCCCAGATATGGACAGCCCCTCAATAAGCCTCATATTATTATACATATTAAGTTCAATAAGCACCCTCAATAAGCCACAATAAGCTCACATTAAGTTCAATAAGATCGCAATAATATGCCTAGCATAAGCAGTGGAGCAGCAACAAAGACTCTAATTAATACAACCATTCGCAGTGCAACAGCTACAAGGAACCAAGGACTATGAGAACCGCCTTACTTATATTTCTCGATGTCCACTGGAGTTTTCAAATCACTCTTTCTTCTTGTTTACCACTGCACCAGTGCGGTATGGTTCAGCACTGTATGCATACTGCTGAAAGATAGAGAAGAAAACCATCTCCCCGATCACTAAAACATTTTGAAGAGCCTCCTGAATATGCTCAACATCGAGCCAGAAATGATGAGATTTGATTATGCCCAATGCTACGAGAATATCAAGCACAATTCCCTGTAAAAACAAACAATGGAGCAGAGTTGTCAAAAATTACCTATAAATACTTGTAGCACAATAACTAGGAGCAAATATGCTCCCAATTCCACTACTCATGCAAAACTTTCAAAGCCGAGACCAAAAATGTCCGTTTTGGAAATCTGAAATATAAGAAATTTCCTTTACATCTTTAAATTTGGCTACCTAGGACCACCAGGGAACATATATTGGTGCCGTTTTGTGTGACAGGGACACCGGCTACATAAGGGAAGCAAATATGAAAGATATCCCTTCACCAATTTTCAGTGATTCACTGAGCGCATCAGTATATCCCCGAGATTTTAGCAAAAAAAGCAGGAACTGCTAAATACTTATATAAGCTCTAATTATTTAATCAACATCTTGATTGAACTTCTGGAGGTATAATAATTAAATGGACTACATATTCAAGACAAAGTACCAAAATCTCCACTCATGGGAAAATTTGGAGCCATGACAACTATAGATGTGGTTCCATTTGAAGAGAAGGATACATTTCCAACTCTTCATGCACAAGAGGCAATTAGAATGCCCTGCAACTTCAGAAGGAATGGTAATTAGAGACTTACCTGCCAGAAACAAAAGAAGACAATCCCCTTGACGCATAAGAACTTGGCGAGGGGATTATGTGGTGCCAACTCTTTGGCGAATACATGATAGAAAATCACCAGGGAATACAATGCCAGTGAAACTGAAACGTTTAAAATGATGGTGAATGTCCAACTAATCCAACTTGGATACATGTCCATAAGTTGCAGAGCTATGATCAACACGGAGCACACAGGTCGAATCACTACGAATTGCCATGTCCAGGACTTAAGAAGCTTTAGTGTATTATGGTTCAAACGGACAGTGTGAGGCTGCAATTGGTAAAAACAGCGTGTCAGATACATTGTTGTGATCCGGTCATTAAAAAATGGACTAAAGGTATCGACTGTTTTAGAGGAGATCTGTGAAAAAAAAAAAACCACAAACAACCACAGTCTAGCATCACAGAATCTTAATGGTTAACATTTTAAATAGATGACTGATCCAAGTTGTCATAAGAGAGAACTTGCCAACACTCCAACCCAACCTGAAAGTAAAACAGTTGTTGATGCTCACTCAGTCGTGAGATGACAATCGACATTTCCAACAAAAAACAATCTTAACACATTAACTATTGGCAGTGGTATCAACATAATAGGTGTTATTACCATAAATACACCTCTCAATGCAAGTACAGAACACAAAAAGCAAGGATTCATTTTTCACAAAGATATTTAGATTGTCATCACCTAACATATACTATTAAGTTACTAACCAATTAATAATCAAATAAAATAAAAGTCCAAGACAAAGTGTATAGTATACACTTATAACAAAGAATGAATAGTGAAACAGGTAGTCATATCTCTGACAAATGTGGGCTTCAAGAAATCATGTTAACTTAATATGTGGCTATCAATCCTCTTCTGGAGAGGTAGCAGCAAATATAAATTTGATTTCCCACCACATATGAACTCCTTGTGGTAACATTATAACATCAGTTCAACTGCAATGTTGTTGCTGCTATTGTGACCTTTTGTATTTATAACTTTTTTGAGTGTGACTTGATTAACAAGGAGCACTTTTCAACCTTTTCCCCACTTTTAGGTAACACTGTCCACACTCTACTGCCACCATATACTTGGGAAACACAAATTTTGCTTTCAATATTGGATTCTATGAATCATTCAGGCATCGATTGCAAAAATCTCATCCAAAATTTCCATTAGTTGCTGCAAATATCCGGCAGTGTTTCCATTAAAAAGGTGCAACATTGGTGCATAATTACGATATCCATATTTTTGAGATGGCAATATACCATTTTTCATTGATATTTTATTCCTTGCTTGCAACCAAAAGGAGGTCTCACAGGCAACCTAGACGACTATCATGCTGCTTACCAACATTACATAATTGGATTCTTAAATGGAATCTTTTTAATTTGCATATCCAAAATAATTTCCTGTTTGACATGATAGTGCATTAATGAAATCAAAGACTAAAAGCAAAACAACTTCACCTGGAAGAGAGTCATGGGGAATGAGTGGTGAATCTCTCTTCCTTTAATTTCGTCAGGCACTATGTTTTTGCTTATGGATATGTTCAAGTAGGTGTACATCAAACCCAAGAATTGCGACATCACCTGCATTTGATAAAATTAGTAACATAGCCAGGGGCGGAGCTCAAAAATTGTTTATGGGTGGGCAATGAATATTTGAACAAGCTTCATTTTTTTCTTGCAATTGATAAAAATAGGATAATGCATTTTAAAAGTTCATTAAACTTAAAAGACTAAAATTGGTAAGCATAGAAGATACAAATGACAAAAAAATATATATATCTTTTTACAAAACAAAGGCTAATCAAACTATTTAGAATTGACTCCAAAGAATTTGTCATATGTTAAAAGTCTTGCATTAACTTTAGTATTCTTTATATCCATAATCATGCCATCACTTACCTATTTATCATTCATTCAATCACACAATAAAATGTGCTCTCTATCATGTCAATGATAATTACTAAAATAAATGTCAAAATTACAAGTAAACTCATGGATATATAATGCATTTTCTGGTCTTGACTAAAAAATAGGGTGGACACAATTTAATATATTAAAAAAATCCTTAAAATTTATATAGGTAATTTTAGAAATAAAAAAATTGAGGGTGGGCATAAGGTGGCTCCGCCCTTGAACATAGTAACAATGAAACGGAAAAGGAACACATCTTCAACTTAAACTTGTTCCAAACAGAAACTGTAAAATGAGTAAGGGAATATGCTGAAGTTACAAGATGTGCAGCTAAGCACAAACGACTAACCAGGGCCTCGTAACATTCCTTCACAGAGTCCAAGAATGTAAAAAACGTTTCACTCCCACGAAAATCTAATAAACCAACCAAGGAGTCAACAGCATATAGGGGAGCCATGAGGATGATAATTATTATGGCTTTTTGCTCCTTTGGCTTCTTCCAGGATGAAAGATGTTGCAATAGAAGCTGTACTGAAAAATGTATTGACAGCATTACACAGACAATAGATCCCATCAGAGTGACTTGTCCACGATTCATTTTGAATTTATCTGTTGGTCAGTGGGGAGAGAATCCAATATAGGGGACCTGCATGAGGATTTTACAGCTGATTCAGGATTATTAAGTTATGCTAAACTACATATGTCATGGTATAACAACTGACAGGTTGACAAAGATTTCTTTAACATAGCTCTTGTTTAAGAGAACTTTCGGGCTTTTTCGCCGGGATAATATAATTGAAAAAAAAAGCTTAAGATTTTACAGAGAGAAAATTCAAAACGAAAGAGCCTCTCAAGGAAGCAGTGAAGTTCTAGAACTCCTGGAATCAGTCGTACAAATGAAAAACTGAAGCATATCAGACCTTTAATAATGCAGGAAACTAGCATTAAGTCCTCCGTTTACTTGTTTCATTTTTTGGATAAACCCACAAATAGCACAACAAAGATGTATAAATGTGCAGAAAAACCCAATTTGCATTCCAATGCCTGAAGTTCACGGATCATAGTATATGATTACATTTGAGGTAAAACATGCAGTCAATTAAAAAAAAAGGAGGTAAAACATGCAGTCTACCGTATCCTCATGGCCTCACTTTAGCATGCTCATTTTGACAACCGGATGTTCCTTCTATACATGAAGGAATTTTATTATAGCCAAACCAAGGTTACGGTAACCCATCAACATAAGTACTTAACCTCGATCCTCTGATTCATATTCTAGGTGCAGAAGTTTGATTCATAGGTTCTTCCTTATGATACAAATGTCTATTGGATTAAAGTTCTGGTTTGTTTATCTTTGGTTTATCTCTTAAACTCATCACCTAAATGTTCTTAACATGCTAGGTTAATCCCAATTAGGTTTCCTGATCTCTCTCCTTCATCCTAGCTTTGAAATCCAACACCCTGCACTTGCTGCAATTAATTAAAAAGGGGCACAACCCTTGAAGCCCAGATCACGATGCAACAACCTTACCCCTGTGCCAATGCCCGTCTCACTGACTACAATTGATTTCAATCAGTGACACTTAACTTCTGATTTTTCCATTAGCTTTGTGTATAAAACTTCAATCTTTCTGGTAGAAACTATACAGAGAAAAACATCAGCTCTGACCCAAGAGACAATAAGGCAAAATTTTCTTCCTTCACCCGTTTACTGCCAGAAGATTAGCTAAATACAAGCACAAAAATTCTTAGAAGATCGTGAATATGCCGATTTGAAGCTACTAACTACTAAGACACTAGAGAAAGTGAACTACAAGAAACGAAACATTGATCAAAATATCAATTACTTGATTCGAAGACTCTGATTCGAACTTAGAGATGACTGAATTGGAGCACTTACAGAGTTCTTTAGCTCGGATTGATCGATGTAATGGCTTTAGAGTGTCTGAAATCATAAATCAACCTCTTTTGCCTACCAAACGTTCAACGAAGCTATTTTCTTGGGGTTGACTATAATTTTTATGGACTTAAATTTAAAACATAGTTACAAATTAAAAAAAAAAAAGATTGATGTTAAAATATTCAGATTAATTTTAAAATAATTAAAAAAATAGGATAGTAGTATATTTTTTAGAATTTAAGTTATAATATTGAGATTTATGATCATTTTTAATAATTTTTTAATAATATTATTTAGACTTAATTTATTAACATAATTTGTTGATTTAATCATTACAATCATTGAATTGATTGTAAATTTAACAAATAATGGGATAATTATTCATCTAATAGTTATGAATGATTAGGTCAACAAATTAGGCTCAATTAACATTGCTTATAATTTTAATATAGATCTTAATGTCAGTATTGGTACCAAATTTAATTGGAATTATACATTGTACTCTAAAAGATTTAAAAATTCTTACTTTGTATTCTTTAAAATTAGATTTTTCACGTTGTACATATAATATATAAAAAGTGTTACAACGTGATCATTCCGTTGGCCACCGTTGCTCATTATGTCAAAAATTATTATATTAACATTGACGAAATGAGTAAGAAAAATTAATGAAAATGTCACATTACAACACTTTTAATATATTAAGAAAACAATATAAATAATTTAATCTTTAAAAAAATAAAATATTTTTTTTTAAATATTTCAGGTATTAACTGTAATTCGCCCAATTTTAAGATGAATCATAAAAATCTAAAAAGTTCAAAATAATTTTAAAAAAAAGTGAAAAAATGAAATCTATTAAAAGTGTCGGGTGAAATCGGTTTATATCAAAAAATATTCTACTTATAATTAATTTATTTATAATTTTGTGTATAATGAATCATATTCGTGTTATGTATAACTCGTATATAAATTGATCGATTTTTTTTTTTATTAATTTCAAGCATATCTGATATATTTATTAGTTGTGTTATATCGAGTCAATTTATTTATAAAATTAATAACCGAAATAAAATTCAAACGATTTAATTTTATATCAATTTTTTTTTATTTTATGTTAGCAAGTTATGTCATAACGTTATAAATGACTCCATTATCATTCTCACATTTTCTTTGTCCTGAAGCAAATACGTTTCTGTGAGACGTTTCAGACAGGTGGTTGGTCGCATTGATTGATAAAGGCTGTATGATTGGGAAATTTTTGGTCTGCTCAGAGTTGAGCGCCAATCTCGAGGAATTTACAAACAAACGTCAAAAGAGGTAGGGCCCACAGTGGGGCCAGGCGCCAGTATTAATTCGGCGTAAGATAAGACGATATGGATAATTTAAACTTTTTTGAAAAAATTCAGTCACATCCCTTCTAATTTATCATATCTTCAAAGACTTCTCTTATATTATTTAAGACATCATTAATTTATATTTAAACATCACTGATACCCCCTTCTGTTAAACCACCATTCCTAACCAAAAAAAAAAATCCAAAATACTAAAATTACCCCTCCATAAACCCCCAATCAATTTTTCTATATAAAATTCGATTAAATTCAAACCGATTAAAATTTATTTTTTTAGATATAAAAATTTGAACTGATTAAAATTTATTATTTTGTATATTAAAATTTGAACCGATTAAGATTTGATTTGAGTTGAGTAAATTTTATTTTTTTAAGTATTAAAAATCAAGCATATTAAATTTTTTTATACGTTTTAAAATTGAAGCCGATTTGAGTCTACCTGAACTGTTAGCACTGATTAAAATTTGCTTTGAGGCAATGAAAATTTATATTTTTTCTTATTAAATTTCAAGTTGATTAAAATTCACTTTTTACATATTAAAATTTGAATCAATTATTTTTTTTTTTAAGTATCAAAATTCGGACGGATTAAAATTCAATATCAGTTAATTAAAATTTGATTCTAGCTGATTAAAAATGAATTTTAATCGGCCCGAATAAAATTTTAATCAGCTCAAATTTAATACGTAAACAAATATAATTTTTAATCTACTCGAATTTTAATTCTTAAAAAATAAATTTTAATTAACTCGAATAAAATTTTAATCAATTCGAATTTTAATGCTTAAAAATATTTAAAAATAGAGGGAATCTCATTAAAGATATGTCTATCCAGAGGTGGTGTAGATGAAATTTTTTTTAAAATATATCATGATCAATTTAGTAAAATTATATTATAGTTAACACTATTAATATGATAGAGGTGTCGGTGAATATTTAAAAAATAGATATGATGTCGTTGAAGATATGATAAAATAGAGAGGTGTAGCTAAAATTTTTCCAACTTTTTTTAATCTGTTATTGCATTAGCTCGTTGCCTTTTTTAATTAGGACGTTGCCTTTTATTTTGGTATATTTACACTGAAACCCCTCATGGTTTGGACTTATTTCATAAGTTGTCAACATATTATCCGAACTGTGTCATAGTTTGGAGTTGCATTTACATAATACCCCCCAAAATTTCTAACAAAAGATAAAAAGTGATTAAAATTTATTTTCAGTAGTCAATTGGCAAGTGAATTGCATTTTTTGCTATCCATAGAAAAAAATTTTGTTCTCATTCTCCCTCACCCTATGAGAAAACATTCAATGTCAGTGTGATACCACATCATCTGCGACATATACCGTCACCAACTAAAAATAGTAATATATGTGTATGGTGAAACCCATTATTTTAGTAACTTTCGATAATCACTATGCTGAATTACTAACATATTGTAATAGTAGGGTTCACTTATTCTATATGATATATTATTATTAATTGATAATACCCCGTGTTATCAATGATGTGGTACCATCGTTACACTGAATGTTTACTCTTATATGTCAAGCATGCAATTTGAGACAGTTAATTTCTTTTATGAGAAGTGACCTCATATGGAGTTTATAGTATCTACTTAGATAACACTACATATGCACATGAACACTTATACTTGACAAACACTATCTAATTCATCATTATCCAAGCATTTTGATCTTTATTTTCCAGCCAAAAACCTAATATTGCATTGGAGTGAAAGCCCACCAAAATGTTTCTTTATAATCAACCTTGTTTAAAAGATCATATTCATTTCCTATATTTGATAATTAACAAACTATTTGAAATGCTTTTTGGTGGCATTAAATGTTGTATAATCCCTTTTCATAAGTTCTAGTGGCCGTAAGCTTTTTTTTTTCTTGTAGTATCAAGTTTCTTTAAAGAATGATATCCAAATATTCTCATAAAAAAGATAAATAAAAAAAAAGAAAAAGATTGAGGTTATTTCCTTGGAAAAACCTGACTAATCGTAAGCAAAAATTTATGCCAATCACAATTTTCATCGCAAAGTTGGTCGGTGCATGTCCGACGGTAAAAATAGTTACTTGCCAAAAATATTTTTCCTCGGTAAAGGCTTGGTTTTAACGAGAAAATATTTCGCCAGAAACTTCATTTAATTTCGTAGCAAATTGTGGAAAAAATAGTTGGAATAAAGAGGGAAAATATTTTTCTAGGAAAAAATAAATTCTTTTTTATTAACTATGAAATATTTTGTAAGTAAAATTAAATTTGTGGAATTTTTTTTATTTATATTTAGTGTAAAGGTGTGGGCGTGATTGTGTACACGTATTTGTCGATGGAATCATATTTTCCTTGGAAAAAAAATTCTTTACCCAGAAAATTAATTTCCTAGGTAAAACATTCTTATGTAAAAACCAATTTTCTTGTAGTGTGACTAGTTTGAATATACTTCACGTAATTGAGGGGGATGTTCCTAAAAACAATTTTATGATAGGTGAAAAATTAATTTTGTTTTCTTTCAAATGGTGTGTTGATTTCTTCCATTTTATGCATTTAGGCTGACTAAAATTAATAAGTTTGTCTGATTCATGTATTCTTCTTGGTTAGAATAAACTATTATACTTTCACTTGAATGTGCAAAATTTATACAAGGTAATCGGTCTTATAAAGTCATCCTAGTCTAAATTTTACAATAATTCTTTTCTTTAACAAGGAAGATTTGTTTACTGTATTGATTTTGAATGTAAACTCCTAGAATTGGGACATATTCAAGACTAAGTCATAGCCATTTACAATCGTCTTTAACTCCCATATAATTATGAAGTAAGGTTTGATTCACAAAAGTAATGTAATTTATTGCTTGACTTTGGTGGTTATGTGGTGACGGATTGTTCTTCTGGATTATTAGCCATGGTTCAAACCGGACCCTTATGGTAACGCCCAAGAGGGTTATTTACTTACTGCTTGCCCCTCCCCTTTAAAAAAAATAAAAAACTTTAATGATTCTTTCTTTAGCTTGAATTTCACTTAATGGTTTAGTTTTCCTTTTGTTTGTAAATGATTTTATATACCATGTATTGTTGTAGCCTTATGTTATGGCGTGGCGAGCAGTCCAACATGGAATTTATTTCTTTGCAATGGATGCTTTAATGACTAATTTTTTGAATTTTCTCCAACGACTAATTTTTTGAATGGATCAATATTTTACTCTTATACGTGACTCTTTCCTCTTTTTTTTTTTTTGGAGGGGAGGGAAAAAAGTGACTTGAACCCTTGACCTCAATAAGATAAAATTTTCACAAGATAAAGAATACTATTGAACCAAATGTCCATTGATATATATGACTCTTTCTTGAATAGGCAGTTTAAAGGCTAATTCTACTCATCTTTAAATAATAAATATATAATGAAGAAGATAACAATAAATTTTAGTTTAGTTGCATTGCACTTGTAAGACCCTTTAATTTGTAAAATAATATCGAGATAGTGGTATGTAGAAGTATTTTGTCAAATGATTTACACTAACTTGTGCTCAAATATTCTTAAAAGCTTACACTTTCTTGAACACATTTTGGCACGAACATTGCATGTGAATGTCGTTCATGGTTAAAAAATAAAAAATGATTCAATACAATCTTGCGAGAGTTGTTATATAATCTATACATTTTGTTTTAATGTGGCTCCTTCGTTCATTGCCTTTGTCTCTAAATGCCCAAACTCTCCCTTTCTCCCGTTTTTCATTTTAAGA